GTGATAGCAGCATCTATATGAATAACATTTATATACTTACATGCATGGATTACTACTAGACACACCTGGTCTAGACAAGAAGTTATATAAGTGATTTACACACACACACACATTTCAGATTTATGGCATTTTTTTCCCCCAAAGGGCAGGTTTTTGGTTTTTTTTTTTGGTGATGCAAAAAGCTTAGCTTGTTAAAAAAAATTCCTGCGCTTCTACTTGCTGTTAGTCTGAAAAGAATCTATTGGCTTCTAACCAATTTTTTTTTTTTAATTCATGAATCACACTGTTCACTGCCACTCGCATACAAATATTCACAGTGACCTTGTCGCTTAATTTCTTGCATTGGAATTGAATAAAAACTTGGACTAAAAGGTCAGTTTTAAAATATGCATAATAAATTCCCTGACTAAAAGTGATCCTAGCAACTTTCTGCACCATTTCTTTGCCTCATTATTCACATAGGTGTCCCTGAATTTTAAGGAGTAAAAATAAAAGAGCAGTATGTGGACCATTGGGGCCAAGGAAATTTTGTTCATGAATAAGGAACCAGTGGCAGAATGAATGAGATTTCTTAAATTAATAGGGTAGCTGTAATGGAGAATGTCATTGGGCACTTAAGTCTTTCTTACAGGATGAAAAACGGAAGCTTTTACATTATTCTAAAAAATCCCTTACTTTTAGGACCTTCCCTATATTTGGTCATCAGGGCATAGTACTGAAAGCCCCATGATGTTGGATATAACTGGTTTTTAAATTTCCTAAGATGACTAAAATGGTCAGATCTATCCAGTAGGGTGTGGCGGGATACGGAGGGAAACTGGCAGAGAGACGGGTGAAAGGATGGTTACAGATACGTGAGTCTGCATGCATTCTGCAATATTTGCTAAGTGATTAAAAAACTGGTCCTTTTTTTAGATAGGCTTTTTGTTGTTGTTGCTTTTTTGTTTGTCTCTTTTGTTTTTGAAAACAGTTTCATGTAGCCCAGTTATTCTTGACCTAACTTATATCTGAGGATGACCTTGACCTTCTGATTCTCCTGTCTCCAGTCCCAAGTGCTGGGATCATAGGTGTGCACTACCACACCTAGTTTAAATTAAAATAGGATTTTTCTTTATAAATAGGTTATTCAGTAGAGAACAATGAATCAAAATCACCAATAATTAGGTTTAGTGTGGGCAGTTCAGCTGGGGACAATATATACTGCTTCACGATCTTAGAATACTCACCCTCATTTCCTCAGCCTAATTTGGGGTAACAAGTAGATTTAAATACAAATAAAGAGATCAGAATGGCATGTCCTTAAGTTGTTAGAAACAGTATTTGTTCTTGTCTTAGTCTACTTTAGTTCATGACAGCCATTCTCCTGCCTTGAACCTCCAACTGGGAAGAGCTTCAGATTCAAGATTTCCAACTCAGAACCACTTCTCTTTCAATTTCTTTGTTGCTCTGCCTTCCTTTCCCACCTGTCAGCAACAGCCTTCACCCTTACGTCCTTGGTTTTTTCCACCCAAACCTTGTGTCCCAAGCTCTGTTATGATGTGCTGCGTCTTTCACTGTCCTTGACTCACTGTTTCAGGCAACTTCATAGTCCTTGGCCTTCTGGGTTTTTTTTTCTTACCTTGATCAAAATATTTGCCTTGGATTGGTGCCTTGGCCTTGTAAATATTACTTCCTTCTACAGATAGGAAAGTGAACAATGATTTTACCAGGTCTGTCCAATGCAGAATCAGGACACGTGTCTTTAGGGTTGAGGGACACATGTAAGAGAATGTTAACATATCTGAAGCATAGTCAGCTCAATACCACAGAAGGCAAAGAAGAGTGGTTGCTTGAGGCTGGGAAATAGACGTGTTCCCTCAGTGTGGTGCAAGGGGAGGTCTGCTAGTACAGCAGCATATTACATGTCTCCCCTGAACTCCTGCAGCAGACACGTCCTATTCTAGGGGCAGGTGATGGCAGATGACAAGGAAGACAGATGTGCATGTCCACAGGGGTTTATAGTCTAGGAAGGATTCATAACATTAAACAACTTGGCATGAAATTAATTATTCAGATGGAACACTGTTCTATTACAGAATTTTATACTTATGATTTTTTATTTTTGTCCTTTCCCCCAAGAACCCTGTCTAGTAAATATTCAGTCAGTCTTTAGATTTTAAGAGATATTTCTAAACTAAGTAGTTGCTAAGGTACAAGTTATAATTTTTGAGTTCTATATCAAAATCCTGTTCCATATCTGGATGGATTCTGTCAGTGTTGTGTCTTTGAGATTTTGGCTTTCAGTGAGAAGCATCCTGTTCCAAAGACTTCCTTCTCAACTACGCATGAGCACAGGGTCCACTTCATGTTTTCCAAGTTATTTTCAGGGGTGGACCTCACTCTTATTTTGCTGTGCACAAAGCCATTGCTTCTAGCATTCAGGGAATGAGTCCTTGGATGTGTTTATTTACCCATTAGCTGTGAGCAAGAGTGATGTTTCCACGGCCTCTTTCCTGGGCTGTCAGCAGAGTGGTTTTGTATACAGTGGGAAAATAACACATTAGCTCTGAGCCAGTGGAGCGTCAGCGATCACATCTGCTTGGATAACTGTTTTGAGATGGATTTGGAGGCTTTGGCTGGGGCTTACCAGAAAAGAAAATTATGACTGATGAGTGAAATCTGCTATGGGCAAGGAAGGGCAAACTTGTGCTACCTACACCTGCCAGTTATTGTCCAGCCCTTATACAAACACTCCCTAGGAAGGAATTGGCCTTGTGGCTTAAATTTTAATCTGTACAGAGAAATATATTTTAAAAGTGACATCAACATCATAAAGTTAAGAAATCAGTGTAATCTCAGTGTAAGACTCGTATGTTTTTAAAAGCAACTTTATGCTGAGGTATGCTTTTCAAAGGCACTTGCTTTTCAGTTTAAGGTAAAAGTAGAACATATTGCATGTTTCAGTGTGTGTGTGTGTGTGTGTGTGTGTGTGTGTGTGTTTCTCTACAGACTGGGTCATAAGGTAAATATTCTTTGTGGGTCATGGTAAACACAGTTTGAAAGTCACCATTGAGACCATAATAATCACAGTGCCTTGGAGGAAGGAAGAATCAGTTCTCCTCCTTGGCTGACTTGGTGCACGCCACCAGTCTCGATCACATCCCATCTATGTGTCGCTCTATTTCAACAGTTCAAGTCGTGTGCAGGGAGCTGTGACTGTAAGCAGGAGGAGTAAGCAAGGCTGGCTCCACACAGGGGTAGCTGATGAGAGGTGCACTCCACACATAGATGCGTGAGGCAAACTCAGCATAGTAGCTTCAAAAACACCCAAGCAATGTGCACCTCCTCCTTGTTCTCTGTGAGTAGAAGTCCTAGTTTTCAACCCCAGTGAAAACTGCTCTGTCCTTTCCCCAGAATACTTCTGTCAGACCCACATCTGATTCCACCCGACTCCCCTCTAACATCTCATAGTCACATGTGACTCCAGTCACTACAAAGGTGACGGCTGTTGCTGTTGGCTCAGACCAAGCCAGTGCTTTGGGCAGCCCAGTGCTATTTGTGCAATAGTCAGTAGATGACAGAAGCTGCAAGCTGATCAAGGAAGGAAGGAATCGATCTAAGTCAAGGTTCAAGAAGCATGAGTAGCTTTCCTAGCAGGCCCAACTTGCATTTTCCCATTACAAGGAAAGGCTGCAGGTCAGGGTGTGACCTGAATAGGGGCTAAGAGGGAATTCCTTGGAGGGTTGACGTTCAGCCACGTATCTGAGCCCTCATCATTTGCAGCTCATATTGTTGCTATTAAAAAAAAAATAGGCAAACAATTTGTCTGGATGAGTCGGATAGCACATAAAGAGGGAGACGGCCCTTATGTAGTTTCAAGGAACAATCAGGGGTAGTTATAACATCAGCAAGCAGTTATTCTTCAGCTATCAGCAGGACCTGGGGATGGTGGCCTTTGCTTTGAGAGAATCCCTGAGGTAGTCATCTGATGTTTCTGGCATGATTCACAGGTGATAGTCTGGGTTAAGTATCTATACCCAACTCACTCCAGTGTTTACATGTTTACCAAGCTTCATTAAAGCACACACACACACACACACACACACACACACACACACACACACCCACACACACACAGATGCTTGCAGGTTAAATAAGACACGCATTAACAGTAAATTTTTTAAATGATGGACACATGTCTTTTGCATGTAATGAATACACTTCTCGTTTTGAACATACAGCAGTCTACAGACTGGAAGATGGAGACATGGCTGACCTCTACTTTGCATGGAGTAGAGAGTTGTGGTAAAGAAGATGCTGCACGCCTAGTTTTGGCTCTGTCTCTTCTTCTAATTTCATTTGTGGTAAGTAGTGTTCGTGGCAGCAGCTGGAGGTCTTGCTGAATCACTGGAGGAGCTTGGCTGCTTCTCTCTCCCTGGCAGAATAGCATCTGTCTGTTGGGAAGGAAAGGGATGCATGGAACCTCTGAGCTCTGCATTTGTACTGAGAGGATGCAGAAGGTCCTAGTCATGAGCCTGTCACCTTGGCACCAATGTGATCTTCAACTGTCCCGTCTCATCTCTTGCTGCTCCTCAGATGTCTTTCTCTACCAGTTCTCTTTCTTTTCTCCACCACAGAAGACACACGGTTCACTACTGGCTTCTTTTCTCCAGCAACTAGGCAGCCATACTACAAGTTGTCTTCATTTTTGTCTTTTCTAATTCCTACAAAGTGGCTAGGAAAGACAAGCAATTCTTATCTTTACAGAGAAAGCCAGAGGGCTCCAAAACAAGGGAATGAAAATCACTGGTTCAGGTCGTCTGGAGAGTAATGTCCATGGGGAAAGGGCAGAGGGAGAACTTAATGTGACTGGATTGCTGTTTGAAATCAGATGTGAGATTTCATTATGAATTATGCATCTTTAGTTAACCCTTTGAGCAGAAACACTGATTATGAGAGATGGGTCATAATGAAATACAAGTGATAAAATTGAACATTTTCTTAGAAAACCACTATAGACATGCACTTTAATAACTTTTTATTTGACATCCAGATTTCAGTATCATATATGCATAAATAATAACAATAATTCTAACAATTTCTGTTCAGAACTTGGCATTGGTTCAACTGATCTCTTTTCTTTCTCTGTATGTTTTAAGCCTCAAACTATTGTAGCACCAGGAAGACAGTGACATAGTCATGGTTAACGTAACATGGTGGGCAGGCTGTCCTTAAGTCATGGGTTGTTTGGCAAGATGTAGTTTAACCAATGGGCTAGGAGAGGATAGGAAGATGAGTAGAGGCGAGCATGAAAGAAACATGAGTACATTTTAATGCACCAGCAAGCATATGCTAAGTTAGTATTATCTGCTCTCCAACTGCAACATGTTAGCATTAGAGTTTGGATCTGTGGTTCTTTCCTACGCAATGATTACAACCTTTCCACTCTACAGCTAGATGGGGTTCAGGACCCAGGTACGTGGTGGGCTGGGACGTAGCACGAATCTTAAAAGGTCCTATTAATAAAAACAAGGGCCTGGTATTGGGGTGAATGCTGGAAGATCAGAGAAGCAGAACAAGCCACAGCCTCACCTCACCAATTCCTCAACTGATCCTGTTTCTTCAGACTGGAATCCTCTGAGTCCTCATCCAGAATGAATCTCAGCTGAACTGCTACTCAAAAGCCTAAAAGCTTAACCAGCTCTAGTTCCTGGTCCTCACGCCTTATATACCTTTTTGCTTTCTGCCATCACTTTCTGGGATTAAAGGTGTGAGTCACCATGCCTGGCTGTTTCCAGTGTGGCTTTGAACTCACAGAGATCCAGACAGATCTCTGCCTCTGGAATGCTAGGATTAAAGGTGTGTGTGCCACCATTTTCTGGCTTCTATATCTAGTGGCTGCTCTGTTCTCTGATCCCAGATAAGTTTATTAGGGTGCACAATATTTTTGGGGAAACACAATATCACCACATTGGGATGACTTCCTCAGCAGGCTGTGCTCATTTATCTCCATAGGTACACTCATTTTCTGCTGATGTCAGGAAATGTATGGTCCCTGAATTAATAGTGCATTTTTTTTAGTGTGAGGCATGTTAAAAGTGACTGAATTTTTAGGATTAAGAATCCTCTACACAAATTTCTTGAGTTTGTCATGATTTTCATAAGGATCTCTGCATTTCTAAAGCTCAGAGTGATTACTTTTAAGTTTTGAGGGGTTAATGTATGAGGGAATCATGAATTACCACTTTTCATTTATTTACCCATAGCCCATGTAACTGCTTGCTTTCAAATCTAAGAAGTAAGTCAAGGATTCTTATCTTTTAAAATATCATGTCGAAGTGAAATGGCGCCATTCAATCCCAGCACTCTGGAAGAAGATCTGTATATTCACATTATAGAGAGGGAGCCAATGCTAGGAGGGGATACTCAGAGGTCGGCAGCCCTCGTTGGCAGGCATTTAAGGAAGTGCTAGACTCCAAGGCAACACTGACAACAGTTTTTGGTGCTTCAAAATTAAAAAAGAATTTTAAGGTAAATGGACTTATTAATTACAATGATCGGAACTGAATTATATAATGTAATGATCTACATTAGCTTTTTCAATAGGGTATAATAAAGCCTATTTACTTTGATGGAACATAATTTTCCCTCAATATAAAATTGAGATATCATTTATAGCATGACTAGAATGTTTAAACACCAACATCTCTATTTTGTGGTGTTCAGGGTCAAATCTTGCCCCTGTGTAGCAAGCGCTCCTCTCCTCAGCTGTACCCTAATCCCCAACATTTTGAGAGCCCAGGCCTTCCTATGGGGAAGTTTAGATTTCTGCACACCTAGGTGATTATTCATGGTGAGCAAGAGCCACTGGGCAGATAAGGGAAGGCAGAGGCACATGATGGACACCACACTCTAGGTTAGCTTTTGATGGCCATGGTCCAGAGAAGCGGGTGATCAGTTTCCACAGTCACAACCCCAGATCCATCGTAGGTGTTAGAAGTACTGACCAGTGTTCCAAAGGCAAGCACATCATTTGCTGTGGGAAAAAAGAGAAACAGATTAATGAAAAAAACTTTTCACAGTGTAGACCAAGTTCATCAACAGCTACAATGACACAATTGAGCATATTCTTTGATAGATTTTATACTTTAAAAGCAGAGTGGAGGAAACACATGGTGTAGGGTTTTAAAACAAAGTGTCTCTACAATGTTCTCTACCCATTCTCAGAACTTGTCATTGTATCATTCACCATTTGGCCTATACCTTATTATAGATAATGGATTGATTAGCCTCCCCACTTTTCTTTACTAATTCTAAACCCAAAACACTTATCTGTAATGTGCCATTTACTTTCTTGCTTGCCTGGGTAAGTTTTATTTTTTGATAGTATAGAAATAACATTTTATAAAACCATTAAACTCCATAAGGCACAGTACAAATCATATGGGGACAGAAAACTAGAAACCTAAAAAAGCATGGAGTTTGGGTCATTATTTTTGACTCATAAAGAAATGCCACTTTGAGCATGGCTTATATTCTGGAAAGTTAATGGGAACACAAAGGTCAAAGCTGACTTTCAGATGTGCAATATCGTACAAGTTACAGACTTAGCTCAAGATGAAGGCAAGAGATAAGACTATCCTTCAAGCTACTTAACTACTCGAGTGAAGGCGTAAGTTTGACTTATATAGTTTGTGTATGTCTTAGTTAGGGTTTCTATTGCTGTGACTAGACACCATGACTATGGCACCTTTTGTAAAGGAAAACATTTAACAGTTCAGAGGTTCAGTCTATTATTATCATGGTGGGACATGGCAGCATGCAGGCAGACATGGTGCTGGAGAAGGAGCTGAGATTCCTACATCTTTTTCAGGCAACATGAAGTGAACTGACACAATGGGCATGGCTTTAGACCTCAAGATCCACCTCCACAGTGACACACTTCCTACAGCAAGGCCACACCTCCTCCAACAAAGCCACACCTCCTAATAGTACCACTCCCTATGAGCCTATGGGGGCCAATTACATTCAAACTACCACAGGATATTTATACATCTCACAGGTCACACATGTAAATATGTATTTTACTTCTTAACAAGTTAGCACCTTGGCACGAGTCAGCACCTTCTTTCTGCCTTGCTTACTCAGAACACTTCATTTCACCAATGTGACTTAAAATGACTCTCCTGCAAATATCCTTTGACTAACAGGATTTTCTTGGTTAAAATGTGACGAGAAACATAAACCAATGTGAAGTAGAAACTGCCCTTTCCTTCAGAATCTAAGTAGTTCATGCTTGAGGGAAATAGTTCAGTTATAAGGCTCACTCTCCACTAGAGGGGGCCTGCTGTCTTCCTTAGGATATCTTGAAAATGCAATTGAAATTCCCAGTAACAGCATTGCAAGTTAACATAGAGGAAGCATTACCACTGAACATGTTTTTTTTTTTAATTAAAATTTATGTTATTTGCGTTTTGTAGTTGTCAACGTCTTTACCAATGCAAACAAGAAGCCATAAAATAGAACTATCCAGGAAGGCAGAGTAACTTTCCTATGAACACTACTGTAATATGCAGTGTACTGTAAGAAGCTCCTGTCTCCAGAACTGCAACTTTGAGACATACGGTTTCTAAATGAAGGGGATATACACATCAGTATTTGCAGATCCAGACACTGTTGCATGATGTGGATAGTGGAGTTTGGGTGGGGGTCATGGTGGAGTTTATAACAGTCAACTTGCTAACTCTAGATGATATCTTGCTTTATATAAGACTGTTCCCCCCACCAGTGGCTTCCTTAGACTCATCTCAGAACTAGGGGTACACAGCTTTATAATCTTTGTTTTGGGGGCAGTGTGGACTTTTGATGTCATTTAGTTAATCACAAGGGCAAAAGAGGGTTCCTTAGAAGTGCTGCTAATTTCAGAGAGGAATCTCTAGAGTGAAGACCCAAGTCACACAGTCACCTGAAATTGACACAATGTATTGAAAGTCTGGAAACCAAACCTAGTTTTAACTGAGCTCAAAGGCTAACAGTATAGAAATGTTGCTGTGGTTGACAGCGATGCATTAATTCCTTTCTGATTTTCCAAGGGCTAAGAATTCCAGGCTTTCAGAGGTAGGAAACCACACCATACACCTTTATTTTTCTAAGGTATGATGCATTTGAATTAGTTTTCAAATGAGCAAAGAATTGAAATGGCTGTGTTGGGCAGGACACACAGGCACAAAATCTTTTCAGAAAATATTTTAGTGAACAAGGCAACTATAAATTAGGTTTTATTCTATATTTGCTATTGCAACAACAGCTAATTAACAGCAACACTTATGTTTGATAATCTCCCAGCTTACAGAACGTAAACTGAGAGTAGAAACTAAAATGAATAATCTGAAACAAAGAACAGTCCATTTAAACTTATAAGGTCATAGGCCTGAGTGGGACCTACTGCTATTGTATTGCTAAGTGAACATACTCTGCATGTCAAATTGCCTTCTCAATACTTAGTCTGAGCCTATAGATTAGTGTTGTTGTCTTCTTTGGGTGGTGGTTACTGCAGAGGCTTATAATTGGTCAGCATGCTGAGAATGAGTCGATGGTTTATTGCTCAGCCTGTGATGGGGCATCTATGTCAGCCCCTCCAAGGCTCAGGGAACTTCATGGAAGAAAGGGTAGGAAGAAAGCAAGAGCTGGAGGATGAAGAGTGTAGTTGTTGTGGGACTGTGTCTTCTGGGCATGGTATGGCCACTTCTCTCTTTAACACATTACTTGTAAAGACTGCACAAATTTGAGTCCATCAACACTTAAACCACAGACAGGGGAGGGGCTCACGAGGACCTACGCCTTCCTGAGGATTTATCCTTGATTGGGATAGGGAGACATTTTCTTCAATAATGCAGTCACTAGTATAGAGCCTAGCCTGCCTGGGAGGGGTTGGGTGGGACTTTAGTCTACAATTGGCACCCAGACCTTTGTTAAGAATTTCCACATTAAACCTGAGAGCTTAAAAAAAAGAGGTTCTAAAATGGAGCCCAGAACAGCTTTCTGGTTCAAGTCTCATTATGGCCTGTGGTACAGAGACCCTTCCCCTGGCTATGGTGGGCTTCAGTGGCAACATGGTGGACTCCTGTGGTCTCTCATGGGCTGTGATACAAAGAGTCTTCTCCTAGCTGCTGCCTGCAGGCTTGAGAACACAGCCATGGGCTTAAAAACACAAGCATGCTGCTTAATACTGCTTCCCAGAATTGGAGAGGTAAGCATGCCTCATTGGTACCTGCACCATGGTGAAAAGCTGAGCGGGCGGAGCAAGAAGCCAGGACCATCACCTGGTCCTAACCACGCTGCAGTTTAAAGCAATGGTCAGAAAATGATTATGGTCCTATGCAGGCTTCACAGCTGTTGGTCTAAAGTTCATGAGCATAAGCGAGACAGTTGTGTGGCTTGGTATGTTTATGGGGCCCCTGGCAGTGGAATCAGGTTCTATCCCTGGTGCATAAGCTGGCTTTTTGGAGTGCATTACCTATGGTGGAACACCTTGCACAGACTTGATACAGAAGGGAAGGGCTTGGATCTGCCTCAACTGAATGTACCAGGCTTTGCTGACTCCCCATGGGAGGCCTTACCTTTTCTGAGGAGGGGGATGAGGGTGGGATGGTGAGGGAAGGCTGGGGGGACCAGGAGGAGGGATGAGAGGGGGATCTGTGGTTGGTATGTAAAATGAATAAATTTCTTAATAAAATAAATAAATTAAAAAACGAAAATTATTACAGATACACAATAAAACATATTCAGATGGAAAAAACTTCTAAATGGGTTACAGTGTGTTTAAAAATATATGTAGGCTTGGTTGAGAAAAGAAAAGGATAGAGGAAGTCCTTAAAAAAGAACTAGAGTAATTTAAAAAAAAGCCACATAAAGATGGAAAATACACAGAGAGTCTGGATACTGTATCTTGTTGTGTTGTATTTGAGATTTTTTTTAAACTGCAGAGAGACATTTGATTGTGGGGGCTGCTAAGCTAAACCAACATATATATATATATATATATATATATATATATATATATATTTTAAAGGCATCTTGACTTCAAAATTTGGGTCTAAGGATATGTTGCTTTAGAAAAGAGGTTCTGCTTTTGTTCCCACAGAAGATGAGAAGCTGTAGATTCCTTCCAGGTTATTATGGTTCCATCAAGGAAGACTCACTGCCGAGAAGTCTCTGTAGATGAAGTGCTAAATAAAAACCAAAGAGTCAGATATAGAGGTGAAAACCTGAGAGTTCAGAGGAATAGGAAAAGCCACAAGCTAACCTTACCTCACCGACACCTTAGTCTGCAAAGAGAGAGACCTACTTCCTGTATACCCATGCCTATATGCCTTTCTGTTCTGCTATATCATTTGCTGTCTCCGTCCAGCTACACCACTTTCTCTTCCTGCCCAGCTCTGTCACTTCCTGTCTGTCTGTACAGGTCTTCAAACCTCCATGGTTAACTATTGTTGGAATTTAAGGCGTGTGCCACCATGCCTGGCTCTGTTCCCAGTGTGGCCTTGAAATCACAGAGATCCAGACAGATTCCTGCCTCCTGAGTGACAGGATTAAAGGCATGTGCTACCATTGCCTGACTTCTATGTTTACTATAGTGGTTGGCTTTTTCCTCTGATCCTCAGATAAATTTTATTGGGGGACACAGTATATTGGGGGACTCAATATATCATCATAGGTCTTCAATGGGAGCAATGGCCCAGATGATCCAACATCCAGAACAGCTTCAAAGCAACTGGCTGAGATGATGCAGCCTCACAGACTACTCCAGTCAAGCTTGACCATAATCCTAAATTTTCTCAGGATCCCCATATGATTGTTAGTGCCCCCAATTAGCAGGAAGTAGTATAGAAAGCTATGCCTAAATTCCCAAAATATTGTTTATAAATGTTTGTTTATATTTAAAGGGGGATGTGATATAGAAATGGTGAAAAAGGCAGATTATTGAATCTACTTTAATACAAAAAAACAACTGTTAATCTCAAAATACTTTATATT